AGCAAGTTATCGAGAAAAAAATTAGCCCATAACCTTTCAACTCATATAGTCTTTACAAATCTGACAAAGGCATACGATAGTGTACCACTTTCAATGCTTTGGGTAGCAATGGAAAAACAAGGAATAAGCAAAAAACAATATACAAGCAGTACAACAGCTCTACAAAAATATGACGGCAAATATTAAAACTGGAAATAGATTAACTAGAGAAATTCCTATTAGTAAGAGCCTAAAGCAAGGCTGCTGCATAGCACCTACACTCTTCAAAATATATCCAAATGAGGCACTCTTACTGTGGAGAAGAAAGTTCTGCAATATAGGCATCCCAATCGGAGATGATAAATTGTACACGATACACTTCGCTGACGACCAAGCCATTCTAGCTGAAAACGAGAGTGATATAAGCTACATGCTTAAAAAACTGGAAGATGAGTACACCAAATGGAGCCTCACAATTAATATACAAAAAAACTGAGTTCTTAGTTGTAAGAGAAAAACCAGAAAGCCTACAAATCGAAATGGGAACTATAAAACCAACAGAAAATTTTAAGTATTTGGAAGTCCAAATAACATCAAAAGCAGGAAGTAGCGAAGAAATACATTCCAGGATTGGCCAAGCAAGATCAACTACCAGACAGCTACACGGACTATTATGGAATAAAAAAATAACAAAAGAAAATAAAAGAAGAATTTATAAAACAATAATAGAAAGTATTGGACTGTACGGCGCCGAACTCTGGGAAATAAACCAAAGAAACAAGTCAAAAATTAAGGCCATGGAAATGAACTACTGGAGACGATGTTGTCAGCTCACTAGACTTGATAGGGTGAGAAACGAAGATATTCGGAGAGAAATGGAAATCGATCTAGACATAATAGATACAATCGAAGCCAAAAGACTTAACTGGTATGGACACCTTCAGAGAATGCCGGAAAACAGAAGGCCAAAAAAAAAGGAAGAATGGACTCCGCCAACTAGCAGAAAACGAGGTAGACCAAGACGATCCTGCAGAGACCATGTCGACGATGCAATGACCGCCAGAGATCTAACAACTGAAGATTGCTTCGACAGAAAACGCTGGAAATTAGGATGCGAGAAGCGGCGCCAGCTGTAGAAGACTCGCTTGTTATATTATATATAATAAATAATAAATTTCATTTTCTTAAAAACGAAACACATTCAGAAGGAAACATGGGTTTGCTAAAGGTAAGATAATGAACCACCAACACCAGAAGTGACGACAAACAGTGAAATAAATATTGAGGAGGAAAATGTAAAGGAAGCATTGAGGAAATTAAAAAATAAACAATCACCAGGATCGGACAGAATACCGAACGAACTCCTAAAGTACGAAGGACCAGATGTGACCAAACAACTATTAAAACTAATCCAAAAAATAATAGAACAAAAACAGAATTACTCAAGAATGCAGATCAAGCATCCTAATATTTCTCTTCAAAAAGGGAGTTCACTTCACAACACTAAACTTAACAACCAAAGTGATAAATAAATTTAATGAAATTATAATAAAACTAGCTGAAGAACAAAAGGTTTTAAGGAAGCAAGTGCAGGGGCGGACTAAGGTCTAGGCAAACTGGGCGTGGGCACGTAAGTTTTGGTGCCCGAAATATAAATTGTTTTTATTTAAAATTAATTATGCAAGTGGAATGCATTAAAAAAATTTTGTAAAAGCAAACACTTGAGTATTCAATCTATTTGTGGCACCAGGTGGTCTGCTCGTTCCGATGCTGTGAAATCTTTAAAGGAAAATTATGAAATTTTATTGTTACATTATTAATTAAACAACGTTACAACAAACAATGTTAATTAAACATTGTTTACGTCATTTTTTATTAAACAAAAATGAAAAACCATTAACAAGGTCCGAAGCTGTCGGTTTACATAGGAACTGGATGCATTTTAGTATGTACTGTTACTTACTATATGGGAAAAGATTTGAGAGATAATAAATACTCTTCAACAAGACTTTTCAACAAAAAGACGAATACATAAATACAGCAATTTTAGTATATGATTCATTTTCAGATTTCATACAAACTGTTATACACGAATTTGACAAATTGGAAGAAGCATCAGAAAAATAAGATATTGCATTATACTAATAATAAAAGAAGACAGAAAATACGAAAGAAATGAAGAAATGCGTGACAAAGAACATTTTAAAGTTATTATTTTTGTTATTAGTTTTGATCTGAAGGATAAACTATTAACAATAAATTCAAAACAATTATTCATGATAGTAGTGATGTTAGTGTCTCTTCAATAGAGTTATTAAAATGATATGAACAAAATTAAAACCTAGCAGAACTAAAAAACGAAGTATTACAATTTACGACTTTTGTAAGTAAAAAAAATATTATTTAGCCCGTATCCATATGGTCATATTTATTCAAGAAAATATTATTACATTCCCAAATTTAAACACAATTCGAATTATTTAGTAAACCCTTGCAATAAGCAATGCAAGCGGTGAAAGATTATTATCAGTAGAAAAAAAAATTTAAGATCCACATTAGATCAACAAAAATTAAATAGTTCATCATTACCACAGAATAATAAACAATTAGAATGCCTACACTCAGATGCCGCCTTTGAAGTTTGTCAGCATGCGATCGCCATGTTTTAGACGGAAACATAGACTCGAATTGAGAAATTTGTGACAAGCTACGACAGAACTGTAATTGAAATTTTTAGAGAATATTAATTTAGAATATTTGAAATAATTTAATCTATTCTTTAACTAAAAGTACGAATAAAATATTGCATATTATGTCTGTAGTTGCCGTAAATAAATTAAACCGGGTTAATTTGTCTATGCACACCAGATAAAATGTTACTGAACAACACTGGTTCCGTTTAAATCATGGCTGATTCCGTCTGCGCGAACGAGATGTGCCTTCTTTTTTTTTAAGCAGAGTGGGCATTCTGATTATTGATTATTTTGTGTCATTACTTTCCATAGAAAGGGCTATTAAATATCTAATCAAACTGGGTATATATGTTTAAGCATTATTATTTGTTTTAATAAACTATGTTTATTTAATTTTATTAGTTTGAAACCAAAATACCAAATGCAAAGTATGTGTTATGACTGAAAAATAGGCCCGAAATTACAATATTGCCTAGGGCCCGCTTTAGCATTAATTGCGGTGGTAATACACCACTATTCCTCCCATCTGTAAATCAAATGACGAATGGGCCTGTTCCAACACAGAAAAAGCGAACGTCTTTGCTGAACATCTTACAAACTTATTTATTTCAAACAGAGCCAGCAGACCCTGATAAAGTAGTGGAAGGACTAATTAGCGCAGCATGTCAAATGTCCCTCCCAATTAAAAGTTTTACTCCTACAGAAATCAAGAAAGAAATAAACAAACTTAAGTCACAAAAGGTCCAAGTTAATTTAGACACGAGTACTAAAACAACTTCCTCGCAAGACCATTAATTTGCTAACAGTTATATTTAACCGCATGCTAAGTTTATCATAGTTTTCAAAATTATGGAAATTTGCTGAAACTATTATGATCCCCAAGCCAGGTAAAGAGCCCAATAAAGTAACATCTTATCAACCTATCAGCCTACTCCCAACCGTTAGCAAAGTTTATTGAAAGATTGCTGCTACAAAGGATATACGCAGATCATGAATTCCTAACATTACTACCAAAATATCAGTTTGGTTTTCGGGAAAATCACTTCACTCCCCAACAAGTCGATAGAATGATAAATGGAATATCAAAAAGTGTAAAAAATACTGCAACGCTATATTTCTAGATATCTCACAAGCGTTTAACAAAGTCTGGTACAGAAATCTGTTTTACAAAGTAAAAATAGCACTATGCAGTAACTATTTCTGCTTACTGAAATCCTACATATCAAATTATTACAGTTATTTGTCTGCAAAATTCAAAGACTAACAATCCAACCTCTGTCCTATTTACCAACCTCCACAACATATGCCCACCTTTAAGAATGGAAAATGTAAGAATACCAACAGTAACAGACGGTAAATACCTTCGCCTCCATCTTGACCAACGCCTTACCTGAAAGAAACATATCAAGAATAAAAGAAGACAACTCAACTTAAAATTCCGACAAATGTATTGGCTCCTTGGAAGTAAATCATAACTTAACATCCAAAACAAAATTCTCTTATACAAAGCCATACTCAAACCTATCTGGTTATACGGACTATACCTGTGGGGCTGTGCAAAGCCAACGTCGCTGAATATCTTTTAAATATTACAATGTAAAGTGCTAAGATCGGTAGTGGATCACCATGGTACGAAAGTAATCAAACACTTCACTACGACTTAGAGATTCCTTTCCTAAATAAATCCATCGAGCCATTGAGTCACAAAATACACTTACCATTCACCATGAAAATGAACTAGCAAGAGAATTATACAACAATGGTCCACCTACAAGAAGATTAGATAGAACCTGGCCCCAGGACCTACTTTAAAATTGAACCAAAATAGAATAAAGTGAGACATCATTGGACTTCACGTCCAAAACTGAACACATTTATGTAATACTCTGCAATGATGTAGATTGTAAATAAAAACATAATTGGAAAAAAAATCGGTAATAGCTCCAAATGGTGGTAGTCTTTCGATGTATTTTCTCCTGATTGAGAATATTCATCCATTGATTTTACTGTTCTTAAGTAATACGTGAATAATAGGTTTGAAACAGAATAACATAAATGTTGGGATGCCAAAAAGTTAACTACCTCCTCGAATGTAATCAATAGTAATATTAATACAGTATCGCACGGCACCGCTTTGAAATTCGCAGCTCTTTGCGCTTTTCGCGAAGTGCAAACTTAGCCTTAGCTACAAATACATATGACAGTGCGTCATCAAATTCAGGCATTTTTTAAATATAAAAAATGTATATATTCTTCAATCGTTTATGTCTACTTTAAAGTCATATCTCTTCTAAGCATGGTAATTATTACGACAAGTATCAAAATGTCAGCTATCACATGACGTTTTATATGATCATTTTACAAATTGTATAACAAATGTATTGTATAATAAAGTAAACAAGATGATTAAAAGTCATAGAAATAACAGCTCTTAGTAAAGTGAGGTCATAATTATATTATATACGTCAAACAATTTTTTTCTTGAAATGCTTGTATGTAACGCATTTCTTATTAATATTGTATGGTTTCAATTAGTCCGAACTCAACCACGAATTGTTGGGGGTAAAGAATGTACTGAAAGCTACTCTTACATGGTATCTATTCGGGTAAATAACAAGCACTACTGTGGAGGAACTCTGGTGACACGTTGGTGGGTTCTAACAGCAGCCCATTGTAATGACAATTCGATGAATAAAAATTACGTTGCTCAGTTTGGAACCAAATACATGGAGCCACCAGCTGGGACAAACTACACAAGAATAACAATCACAAAGATAAAAAATCATCCATATTTTAGCTTTGTGAGGTTAGTCAACGATATAGCGATGGCAAAGTTAGAACGACCGGTATATGACTACGAATTTGTAAAGCTGCCAAAGTCATTTACTAGGAAACAGATGCCTAGGTTTTGCAAGGAAGCACTAGTAATGGGTTGGGGAGATACGGTGGAGGGAACTCGAGTGGGCAGCCAGAACCTGATGTGTGTTTATATTGAGACGATTGACCTGTATAAGTGTGATCGAGATCATTATGAGGAATACTTTCACAGCAGAATCTGTACATATACACCAGGTAAAGACGCCTGCCATGGTGATTCCGGTGGGCCTTTATTATGCGATGATATTCAATACGGTATAGTTTCATTTGGGAGAGGTTGTGGGTCTCATCCCGGAGTATATACTCGAGTTGATAACTACTTGTATTTTATAAATAGAGTATTAAGCAAAGGGGGCAGAAGTGACGGAGCTCTAAAAGTAATAATTTTTTGCATATTGTTATTGGTTCACCAATAAATCTACATATTGTAAGTATCATTTCTTTTAATCGTTCAAATGCAACTCAAAAAACTTAAAGCAGGAAGAGAGAAATAATAAGAATAGTCGCTTCTTCTTACACCAAAATTTTGTTTATAAAATACATTTTTTTCTCTAGTGATTAAAATATATTTCTGATCAAAGTTGTAACGATATAGCAATATTATTATTGTACACGATAATCTATAATAGCGGAGATTTTATATGCTCAACTGTTGAAAAGGAAAAAATGATGTTAAAAATATGAATGATGAAACAAGCGTAAATTTGTAGACAAAATGTAAAAAAGTAATTAAAAACAAATGCGTTGAATATAAATTAAATCAGCTACGAGAAAGTATGGACAATTGTGTGTCTATTGGTTTCAAATATTGTCGGTTATTCTAGCTGTAATTATGTTATAATCTGAACTGATGTTTTAAATACATTAGTTGTTGTTGTAGAGAACCAGTTCCTTAGGTTTTTAACCATGATATTCCTCTTCTCCCAAATCATCGCTTTCTGAATACTTTACCTGAGGAATTATTTTCCGTTATCTGTATTTCGTGCCGTTTCTCATTATGTGTCCGACATACTCCAACTTTCTCTTTTTAATTGCATACATCACTTTTCTTTCTGTATCCATTCTTCGTAGTACAGTCTCGTTGGTTATCTTGTCCGTCGATGATATACTTAGGTTTCTTCTATATAGCCACATCTCAAAAGCTTCAAGTTTTTTCTCCATCGCTTCAGTGAGTGTCCAGGATTCAACTTCGTAGTATAATATTGAAAAGATAGAACATCCTAGGAGCCTTACTTTTATTTCCAGATTAAAGTTTAGGTTTTTAAAGGGTTAAGCCATGTTGTTGAATGCACTCCTAGCCTTCTCTATTCTACATTTTACTTCTTGGGAGTGATCCCATTGTTTCAAGATATTTTACTCGGTCCACTGGTGTATTCTTGATAAGCAGTTGGACGTCTCTAATTTTATTTTTACAGATTACCATAAATTTAATTTTTGATATGTTTACTTGTAGTCCAAATCTTTCACTTACTTCATTTACTTTGTTTATTAGTTGCTGTAAACTGTTTAAACTATCTGCAAAAATAACAATGTCATTTACATAGTGGATCTTATTTAGGCGTTCTTCATTTAAAAGGATTCCATGTCTAATGCATCGCAGAACCTGGATCGCTTTCGTCTGTTCATCTCCAAGATTTGATCTTATTGTGACTGATTGGTTCCAGTATAATTTTGTATTTTTCGCCGATCTTTGTGGCTTTTGTTAAAACATCCAACTTTTTGGGTGTTCAACAGTGTGAACACAGTGCATCTCTCGTGGCTACGCCTTTCATGAATCCAAACTGTGTATCTTGTATTCTCTCTTCGCATAACTTGTATATTCTGCGATGTGTAATATTAAGAAAATAGTTTAGTGTATAGCTCATTAGACTTATTAGCCTATATTTCCCGCACTTTTTTGCTTCCTGAAAAAAACTTGAAAAAGAATACGAATACGAAAAGCTACAAAAAAAATCACTGAAATAATACATGAAGTGTCGATCAAAGAACAAACAACAGATGAAGAATGTGGCACTGACCAAGATGAAAAAATTTTCCATTCATCATTGGAAAATATGAATGAAGTTTATGAGAAACTGAAAGTCGTTCATATTTTTTTACTGATCTAGAGCAACGGCGATTTGGCTTTTAATATTTCAAACATTTAATGAAATTTGAGAATGAGGTGGCAAAAATCAAAATAAAAAATTTTAAATAAACTTCTATTAATTTACTCACAATGTTTCGATATTATCATATTGATATGTATGTATACTTCATAAAACAGTCATAACTCTAAATAGTCAAGATGTTATGAAATTTTCGTTGACCGCTGAATAAAATAATTTTAATACAAAGTATACATAATTCCACAGACATTGTGTGTAAAAACTAAGTGTATGGATTTGCTAGCAAATCTGCTTAAAATCGTTTTTTAATATCTATAACATATCTATATAAAAAGAGATAAATATTGTAGCTTTAAAATTCTCTATTTATGAAAATTTTTCTCTATCTGTCTTCTGAATCCTTTCAAATATCTATCACTGTTATTCTGTATGTATTTAATTAAGATCTTTACGACCTATATCAGAGGGTATTACAAGGTTTTTCTCCGTTTCACAGTTTACCACAGTTTAACAATCTCATTTTTTAAATTTAAAATAGCTAAACGCATAAAAATACGCCTGACATTATTTTACTTAAGAAAACTTATGATTAAGTAGTCAAAGATAGATTATCACATAATGAAGACTAAAATAAGTAGTTTAAGATATTTACATGTTTATCTTTCTGTTGTTCCTTACCTTTTAGCAGATGTTCCTTGGTTATAAATGTTTATATTCTTTTCGAGTTCTTATTAATCTTTTATTTTTGGTTCTTTATGTTTCTCTATTCTTGGTAGCTGTTACACCTGTTTAAAAAGACAGAGGTATATTAGGTCGGCCCTTTATATTATCGAAAATACATTGGTGGAAATAATAAATTTTATCAAAAGAGGGAAAAAACAACGTTGACAAACTTATTGGTTTTATTTAACCTGTTGTCTTTTAGCATTTGAACAATGTTCTAAGATAATCAAATCCAAATAAAAATAATAAACTGCATTATGACGCCACAATAAAAAAGCTTCATACAAAATTATTTGGCAACGTCTCGTCGTCAAAGTAACAACACTTTGATTTTAATACTGTAGTAACGAGAAGAATAGAACTAGTTTGATATGCTATGCGTATTACATGGATTCGTAGGTTGGTCTTTCATAAAGCATAATAAATAAAAATAGCACTAGTAAAGCATTAGGAAGGAGTAGGTGTATCATATTAAATTCAAACTGGACCAAAAATTTCGTGTTTTGACTAAAAATGAGATAATTTTTAGTATTTTCCAAATAATATTTTTGAAACCATTTTTCGTTTAGATTTTTTGGAGGTAGTAAGTGTGAAAATAAATATTAGTTCTATAAAAATGAAACAAAAAAAGATAAAATCAGTATAAAGTTTGTTCTATAAAAATGAAGTCAAATAAAAATAATTCTATTATACAACGCATTTCTCATGGTTTTGAGTTCATCTTCCGATATTTTTTAGCTAAGTTGGATTATCTTTCCCTTTAGTTCCCCCAAGTTAGCATCCCCAAAAGTAAAAATCTAGAGGAGTTAAGTCGGATAACCCAGAGGGCCATTTTATTGTATTATCTGTACTAATGACTTCTTCTTCTTAACGTGCCCTATCAAGTTCCCTTGACATTGGCGATTAACATGGCGAAACTGTCTCTGTCTCGAGCTATTCGAAAGAGTTGCTCAGCTTTTCTTATTCCTGTCCATTCCCTGATATTCTTCAACCAAGAGGCCTGCTTTCTACCAATTCCTGTTCGATTTTAACCATCATAATAAGTTGAAGAATATTATATCGGTCTCCACATACTACGTGTAAAAAATAGGCTATCTTTCTACATTTGATGTTATCAAGCAGCTCGCGAGCAGCATTTGCTCTCTCAAGGACTGCCACATTTGTCAGCATAGCCGTTTATGGAATTTTTAGTATACGTCTGTGCAGCCACATTTCAAAGGCCTCCAGACGATTAATGGTGGATATTTTTAATGTCCATGCTTCGACACCGTATAAGAGAACTGACCAAATGTAGCATTTAACCATGCGCTTTTGAAGTTGAAGTTGCAAGTTATCATTACAGAAGAATGACCTCATTTTTATGACACCACGTACTAATGACACCACGTACTAAGGACACCACGTACTAATGACACGTTCAGCAAAAATTATCGCTAAATAGTCTCTAACGGCTTTTTCATTATGTGCAGGACAGCCGTCTTGTTGAAACCAAATTTCGTTGAAGTTAACTTGAAGACGTTGAAGTGCAGGAACAATTTGATTTTGCAGTAATTGGAGATATTTGACTGCGTTTAAATTTCCTTCAATGAAAAAAGGACCAATAATATAATCTCCCAAAATGCCAGTCCAAACATTAAACTTTTGTGGATGATGCGTACGGACAGACACACTCAAATTCTTATTCTCCTGAGACCAATAACGTACAACGGATGGAACATGTTTCTTGTGAATTTGTGAAGAAGGACTCATATGCAAACAAAATATTTTTCAAAAAATTATTATTTGGCTGGTATTTCTCCATCATAATTTCACAAAATTGCATCCATTTAAATTGATCATCAGGAAATATTTCTTGGGTTGTCTGCACTTTATAACAATGATAGTTGTTTCTTTTCAAAATATTCCTTACTATTTTTCCATTTAAATCAATTTCGTTTTCAATCAGTTTCGTTTTTAATATTATCATCCAGTTTTGAATGACAATATAACCGCGCCATTGATCGAGGACCAGGAAGGCGAAGAATTACCTGGCTGAAAAATCTACGTACGTGTTCGCCAACATCCGACACGGATAGGCACTACAAGAAGAAGAAGAATCGAATCCTTTCTTTCGATAATAACAAATATAGTATCTCATAAACTACTTGATTCAAAATTACGCTTCTATCTTTAAATTCCCTTAATCTGCATGACAAGAAACAACCCCTTCGTAATTTCTGCAGATTATCAATTTACCAAATAGTTTGTTCAAATATAAACATTATAGGAATATGCATGTATAATCATTGCTTTATATTGTGCGAGAATCCTATTGACCGATTTATCGTAAGTACTTGGTGGGATCGGTTGTGCATCGCTGTGTGAACACTGGCGTTGATTACGCTGGAACCTAAGTTTCAGCACGGATGCTGTTGATATGGTGTGAATACTTCTTCTTTTAGTACCTGTAACGACATCACTTGGCATATTATCCCTGCCTGTTTTTTGCATTTTAGTCGAGTCTGGGAATCAAATATCAAATATATTAAAGCTTATTTTAAGCTTGTTCTTTCTAATCTTCTTATCACTTACGAACATTTTTAAAC